TGGCAAATTTTTCTCTAAATGGCCAGATAGTCAATAATTTAGGCTTTGTAGGTCCTACGGCCCATTGTAACACAAAAGCAGCCATAGATAACCTGACTGGGTTCCAATAGACAGTTATTTTCATATAAGTTTCATCTGTCATTGAAATATTGTTCTTTTTTAAATTTTTTTTTCAACCCTTTAAAATGTAAAAACCATTCTTAGCTTCTGGGCCATACACAAATGAGAGTTGGGGTAGATGTGGTCCAAGGACTCATAATTTGTCAATCTTGCTTTAGATCACTTGTTCTTATTGCTGTAGAATATTCTGTTCATTTTACATCCTTTAAAAACATTCCTAAATATTTAAGGGCTCAAGAAATTTAGCTGACACTGTTTTAGATCAGATACTGGTCCTGCTCTTAAGAAATTTACTCTGTAAGTAGACAAGATAAAACATGTTAACCGATAATGAATAGAAGTGATAACGACCCGAACAGACGTTTGAATGGCCTGCCATGAGAGCTAAGAGGAGTGGAGGCAGGAGAGCTCATTTCATTTTGGCTCAGTGGTTGAGAAAATGGGCTGTAGAGCCAGGATACCAGGGTTCCTATTCTGACTCCTCTATTTACTCGCTGTGTGACCTTGGACAAGTTACTTTACCTTCCTGTGCCTTGGTTTCCTCATCTATAAAATGCAGACCATAGTCATGCTTACTGCATAAATGTTATGAAAATAAAATTATCACAAGAATTAATTAAGATAGTACATGCAAAGTGTGTAGAAAAGTGTCTGGTTCAAAGTAAGCATTATATAAACGTTGGTTTTTATTATTCGATCTGGAAGGAAGATCATGGAAGGCTTTGTGGAGGCAATATGAAATCAGAGTTTTAAAGGATTGGTGGGATTAGGACATATAGAAAGAGAGAAGAAGGAATTCTAGAAGACTCTGGAAAAGCCCAGAGTAGCAAAGGAGAAATGTAGAAAGGTACAAGCGAACCAAGTAAAGGGGAATAGAGAGAAACGAATTTAGAAAGGAAAGTTATGACCAGACCATGGAGAGCCTTGAGTTCAAGACTAAGGCAATGGACTTTGTCCTGTAGGTACTGAGGACTTATTAAGTTTTAGGAACTGGGGACTCTTATGATGCTTTCAGCTCCTGGCAGCTGAGGGAGGCAAATTTGAGAGAAGAGTCAGAATTAGGTTACAAATCCAACAGTCCAGGGAATGGGGCCTGAAAAGGCAGAGTGCTTTGGAAATAGACAAGATGTGGAGGATAGGGAGGCATTTTAAAAAGCACACCATAGGGCACCTGGGTGGCTCAGTGGGTTAAGACTCTGCCTTCAATTCAGGTCATGATCCCAGGGTCCTGGGATCGAGCCCCACAGGGAGCCTGCTTCCCCCCTCTCTCTGCCTGCCTCTCTGCCTACTTGTGATCTCTCTCTGTCAAATAAATAAAATCTTTAAAAATAAGATAAAAAGCACACCATAGAGTTAAGACTGGGTGACTGGGAGGATGGCAGTGCCATTGTCTGAAATGGGGAACACAGCTAGAAAGAGAAGATTTAGGATGGAAAGTCATGATTTTGGTTTGTAACACATGAAGTTGAAGGACTCAGTATGGAATTACCTTATGGATTGGAGCTAAGAACAAAAAGGGTTTGGGAGGGGGTTGGTGACCTAGATTACATGCTTCGAGTTAATCCTTTCAACAACTTGATGAGATAGGTATGTGATTAGCCTCCCTCTATTCTAGAGAGGAAGAAACTAAAACCAGAATAGCCAAGGCTAACCCCACAGCTCATAACCAACCACCCCAGTCTACTGCCTCTGCAGCTGGCTTCCTTAGGACTTCCCCTAGGACGGTCCTTCAGATCCTTACTCCCATTATCTGACATTCTGGGGAGCTTGGACTATTTACCTTCTTGGCTTTAGCAAGAAGCAGGTGTGAAGGGGATGGGCCTAATGACAGCAAGGTAAGTGGCAGCGAACAACCAGAAACTTGAAGAAACCATCATGAGAACCCCAAGCCATAGCATCCCGAGGACATTTGTTAAAGCGGAATACAGTCCTTCACTCTTCAGCAGCCCAAGAGGATTTCTTCATAATAAAGCCCAATATTGCTACCAGTTCGTATTTATAATGCATCAAGAAAATAATAAATCTATTTCCAGAAGTTCCAGATAGCTTGGAAGTTCCTAATACACCTTTGACAGATTTTCACCTGGTGTGGATAATTTATTTTAATGTTGAAGGAACAGACTCTCTGCACTCTGGGGGGAACTTCTCTTTAAAAGCAGCTTTCCAGACAGCAGCGGTTTTGACTCTGGTGTTCACCCCTCGCTGCCTGAAGAGCCCTAGAAGGACGTGGAGGCTAGCCTGGGCTGTGTAGCTTCAGAGGACGCTCTGCCAGGATTCCCAGGCCCACTCAGGCTGTCACTGGTAACTTCTTCCCTTCCTCTCATCTACCTCCTTGACTTGCTTCTCAGAAAAGAGGCAATAAGGGGGAACAGTGTGCTGGGGTCAGAAGAAGAAACAGCACCTACAGCAAACATGGGCACGATCCTCCGTACATGGGGCCCAGTGGAGATAAAGGAATAAAACACTCGCCCTGGTGCTGACCTGTCAGGTGGCCAGGCCACACCAAATTAGGAATAAAAAGACCAACATCATCTGTGTCATAGCTCTGTTGCTTACCTGTCCTGCACCTTCTGGTTTCTACCCCTCTGCCTGGAATGCCAGTGCCTTGTGAACATATCCCTCGTCCTGGCTTGGGTCTTGAGAGCGCCTTCTGAAATGTGAATCTGATTAAGTTACTCCCCCATTTAACTCTTCAGTAGCTTTTTAATGCCCAAGCAGGTGCATTCATAAATCCTTTTTTTTTTTAAATTAACATATAATGTATTATTTGCCCCAGGGGTACAGGTCTGTGAATCATCAGGCTTACACATTTCACAGCACTTACAGTAGCACATACCTTCCCCAATGTCCATCACCGAGCCACCCCATCCCTAACCCCCCAACCCCAGCAACCCTCAGTTTGTTTCCTGAGATTAAGAGTCTCTTATGGTTTGTCTCCCTCTGGATCCCATCTTGTTTCATGTTTTCCTTCCCTACCCACCCACAACCTTGCCTCTCAAATTCCTCATATCAGAGAGATCATATGATAATTGTCTTCTTCTGATTGACTTATTTCGCTTAGCACAATACCCTCTAGTTCCAACCATGTTGATGCAAATTCATAAACCCTTTGGTCTTAAGACCCCTTTCCATGCAGTTTGTTCCTTCAGTCAGTATTTACCATATTAGAAATTAAAAACTGAGAGAGTTCTAAATTTTTATTCATTTAAAATTACGACAATAAACTCATTACATGTTATCATAAATACATCTTCAATGAAAAATATCTGTATTTTCTACAACAAAATGTGAAAGAGTAGCGTTTTATACATTTGTGCAAATCTCTTTAATACCTGGTATAAGAGAAGACAGCTGGATCCTAAAATCTGTTTCTGTATTTAAGCTGTTGCAATATCATATGTCCTATATTCTATGGAAAACATCACTGTACGCTCGTGAGAGAATGGGTTAAAAAAAAAAAAAAGCAAAACACGTTTAGCATTATTCTGAAAATAATTCGGAGCTCACTGACCCCTGAAAGGATCGGAGGGACATCCAACAGTCCCAGGACCACTTGATGAAAACCGCTGGCCTACAAGGTGAATTCTAAGGTAGACATACAAGGACATTCAATGTCATTCTAGACCCTACAATACCTCCTCCCAGGTTCTGGCTTCCTTTCCCTGTCTAGCGTCAGCGGCATCATCACCATATCCATATGTCTCCCATTCTCCCGCCACACCACTCACACCAGCCAGCCATACGGTATCACGTCTTTACGCCTTTGCATCCATCCTTCTCTCTGCCTGAAATTAGCTTTCCCCTTGCAGGCTCTTTCAAGAGCCAGCTTGAACGAGTTGGACTCTCGGGTGCCTCCTTTGATCCAGGCTAACAGAGCTGACCGCTCCCTGCAGGCAGAGCCCGGGCTTTGAAGTCAAACAGGCTGGAGATCAATCTTCTCCACTCAGTCATTTCCTGGCTGGGCGACCTTGGACAAGTGGTTTCACCCCCCTGCTGGGGATTATCCGCGGTGGATGGGGCGGTTAATCCAGGGGAGTGCTAGCGAGCACTGAAAGAATGGTCTTGTGTATAGTGCCTGGCACAGAGGGCTCAATGCGTACTTGCTGAATGGGTGAGCCATGAAGGGACCGCAGGAGCTTGTACTTAACTGAGCATTTACTTACCAACTCCCTGCACTGTCCTGTCAGCTTTGCAAGCATTAACTTAGCCTCACAGTAGTCCCTTGGGTAAAGTACTATCACGTGAGAGAGGAGGGCCCCGGAGGAGAGGAACGAGGTCACTTACTCAAGGTCATCCATCACACAGCTGGTCAGCAGTGGGGCGGGGACTCGAGCCCCAGAGCGCCGGCTCTGAGCCCGAGGCGGCGCCCTGCGTCAGTCGGTCTGCAGGGCCGAGAGCTGACCGCTCTTGGCATCGCTGTCTCGCCCCCCGGTCCCTGCGCCTCCTCGGAGTGGGTGACTGGCGGCGGGACTCGAACCCTAGCCCCGAGCCCTCTCCAGGCCTCAGTTTACCCGTCCGGGAGACGAGGCGCGGAGAGCGGGTCGGGGCGCGGGTTTGGACCCCGGGCGGGAGGCGTTGGGGCTGACCGGACAGGGCCGCTCGGTGGCGCCCTCCCCGAGCAGCCCCGCCCCGCCCCCCGCGCGCGGGCCCAACGGCCTAGGCGCGCGCCACCCCGCGGCGGGAGGAGGAGGAGACCGAGGAGGCCGAGGAGGCGGAGGAGGGGGGGCGGGGCCGGGGAGCCGCCGCTGCCGCTGCCGCCGCCGCCGCCGCCGCCGCCCCCGCTGCCGCCGCGGTCTAGCCCCCAGCTGCCAGCCCCGCCGGCCAGCCCGCCCGCCGCCCTCCGGAGCCGCCCCCGCCCGCCCCCTTCGCGCGTCCGCTCGGGCTCCCTGCGCAGCGGAAACATGGCGGCGGGAAGGGAGTGAGCCGCCCCGCGCCGCCGCCAGCCCGCAGGTAAGCGCCTCGGCTGCCGCCTCCACTCCCGGGGCAAGCCCGCGCCCTGAGGGGCCTGGGCCGGCGGGGACCGCCGCGAGCGAGGCGGCGGCTGAGGGACCTGGCCGGCGGCCACCCCCGCCCCTCGGGGCCCGCCGTCCGGCCGTCTGCCGGCTGTCGGGCCGGGGGCCTGTCTGCGGTCCGAGCGCCGCCGCGGCCCTTCGCGGCCGTGTCAGCCCGGCCCCCAGCCCCGGCGGCCCGCTGTGCGTCCGCGCCCGGGCCGGTGCGGCCCAGTGACCGGCGCGCGGCCCTGACGCTATAGGGGCGCCCCGGGGGAACCCTGCGGTGCCAGCCCGAGGGCGGGGGCGCGTCTGGAGGGTCGGCGTCGCGGCGGGTCCGAGCGGCGTCAGCCCTGTCCCGGCCGGCGGGGCTGGGGGCGGCCGGGAGGGTGGGCTTGGCGCGGAGGGCCGGGAGTCGGAGCGGCTGTCAGTGTGCGGCGGGTCTGTCGCTCCGCTCGGACGCGAGAACTGAGGGATGCCTGCGGGTCGGGGGCGTTTCGGACCGAGGCCGGCGGGCGTGCGGAGGGCCCGGAGCTGTCAGCCGCGGTCCGTGGGCTGGCTCCGGCGGCGAGAGCTGCGCCGGGACCACTCACGTGGGCCGCGGGAAACGGGCGGGGAGAGCCGCTTTCAAACCTCGGAGCCGCGGGGCACCGCGGAGGGCAAGCGGCCAGGCGGGATCCCGCGGCACAGCTGAGCGCCAGCGGGAGAGGAGTAAAAGGGGCTTCCGGGAGACGGGCGAACCCCAGAACATCTCCAGACTGGAAGGGAATTTAAAGTCATCGAGGGCTCCTTTCTCCCACCGCACACGGAAGTCCCTTTGAAAATCCCCAAATCCACCCTAATCATTTGAACTAATCCGTCTGAACACGTCCTCCAGTGATGGGAAACCCATTTCTCCCCAAGGAAAACACATTCTGTTCCTGGGCGGCTTTGGTTTTTAGAAATATTTTTGGTTCAGAGAAACCGCTGCTTCCCATTCTTCCTGGTTACGGACAGCTGTTGAGATATCTGAAGATAGTAATCATGTCCCCAGTCTTGTCATCTCCTCGATAATTCCAGTTCCTTCAGTTGTTACTTGCATGCTGAAATTCTCTGATCCCTTCTCAGAATGAGCTTGCCCATACCCTCTTTAAAGGAGAGCTTCTTAATCTATTAAGTTTCTCCAAGAAGTTCCTTGGTCCCAAAGATTGACCTGCTTAAATGAAAAGTATTCCCCTCCTCCTTTCTGTGCTGTGTTTTGAACTTTAAAAAAAAGTCCAGTACTGTGTTCAAACGAACTAAGAGAGATCCTGTTTCGTGAAGATGTTTGGGTTTCCCCTCATTAAAAAAAAAAAAAAAAAAAAAAAGTCTATAAACACGTAATCAGATGAGCTGATGTATATCATAGTGTGGCAATGCACCATGCAAATAGGAGAGCTTATTATTTTTACTCTGAAAAAGGATTGAGACTTAGTTTGGGGCCGACTGCAATTTAATATTTAGTTGGAGAGGGAAATGCTTATTATATTGAACTCTTTGCTCTAACTGCCAGTAGAAGGCTCAAAGTTGCTATGAAAAAGAACACTTTTTGTTGCTCACTTACCAGCATTATTTTTTGCTTGCTTTTTCATCATTTAGCCTTGGTATGTGAGGATTGTGTTTTTTAAAAAGTGTCTTTTACCAACATCCTAAACTACCCTAAGCAACCCTGCAGGTTAGTAATTTTTAAGCCCAGCAGAGATGGCTATGGCCTTATAGATAAAATGCCAAATTTTTGTATCTGGGACCCTGTTCAAATTCTAAGCAAAGTTTCACTGCTTTTATAACATAGGCAAGCACATGCCAGCAGTCAAAATTGGTTCTTTATCTTTGTTCTTGTGTCTTTACTTTTTAAAGTGGTCAGTGGTTTTGAAGTTAGCAGCACACATGTCAAGTTTTGATTTCTGGTTTGTTTGTGCAAATGCTATTTCCCTTTTACATAAGTTGGGTAAAAATTTGTATAGAACCATTCTGTGCAGACCTGTACAGGCTCAGGAAAGGCTCTGGTTCCTTCCCTTCAAAGAACTTGAAGTTAGTGATTGGAAATACTGAAAACTCTGTGAGAAAGAACTGGTGTGATTATACCACTGCAGATTTAAACTCAGCATGTTCTAAGCTTTACTTTAAGCCTATCCATCTACTTTTTGTCAGGCACTATGCTTACGTACTGTGTTTAGCTGGGTATACAGAGATGAATAAGATACATTTTCAGTCCTTGTGGAGCTGGTAAATTAAATGCCCAAATAAGTCATCTCAGAATAAAAGGTGAGAGGGATGCAGTTGATGCTGTGGTTGTCCCAAGGTAGGGCGTTTAGACTAGCTGAGGACTTGAGGGAAGGCTTTGGGAAGAGGTGACAACTGACCCAAATAATAAATGGTAAGAAGAAGACAGTCAAGCAGAGAATGGTAATAAGCGTGCTTCCAACAGAGAAAACAGCTAAAGGAAAGGCATCGATGTGAGAGAAGGAATGGCTTGCATAAAAAATCACAAGTGGGGGACACCAGAGTGGCTCAGTTGGTTAAGTGTCTGCCTTCAGCTCAGGTCATGATCTCAGGGTCCTGGGATCGAGTCCCACATCAGACTCCTTGCTCAGCCAGGAGCTTGCTTCTCTTTCTGCCTGCTGCTCTCTCTTTCTCCCTGACAATAAAAGTCTTAAAAAAAAAAAAAGAAAAGAAAAGAAAACCACAGGCAGTTTGAAACTGCAAAGAATATAACAATAAAGACATAGGGTACCTGAGTGGCTCAGTCACCTAAGGGTCTGCTTTCAGCTCAGATCATGATCCCAGGGTCCTGGGATGGAGTCCCAACTCAGGCTTTCTGCTCAGTGGGGAGTCTGCTCCTCCTTTTCATTCTCCGTCTTTGTTCTTCCTCTCTCTGTCTCTATCAACTAAATAAAATCTTTTTTAAAAAAGACATAAATGTAAAGTTGTAAGACTGCAAATATAGGCAGAGACCATATCATAGTAGACCTTGTACTTGAAATTAATTCAGTGGGTGATTTTTTTTTTACTCACTGAAAAGTTTTTATCAGACATGGTGGAAACATTTTAAAAATGTGGTCATAGGGATGAGAAGAAAGGGATAAAGTTGCGAGAGTCTGGATGTGGAGCTTTATGATTGATTGGATGTGCAGATGAGATGGCCAGGAGTCCAGCATGATGCTCAGATTTTTGGTTTGGGTGACTAGAGGAATGGCGGTGACATTAACTGAGACAGGGAACACTGGATGATGAATTTGGTTTTGGACTTGAAGATTTTTCAGTAGCTTAAGTTAAATCAATAAACAAATGTAGTGGAAGTAAGCTAGGAAAGAGGGAGATTGTGCTCAGAAAGTGGAATATTGAAATTAACTTGTGTGGTATGGAGCTCTTCTAGGTGATAACTAGGCCTCTGTGTGTGGGTAGCTGAGGTGCCGCAGAGGTGAAGGTCAGTGAAGTGAGTGTGACAGAACTTTGAGGCTGTTGTATTGAATGGGCCATCTGTGTGGATAGAGAAGTGATTTAGGATGCTTGGGTGTGGGGAAGAGAGGATGATTGTGACCCAGGTGCGGCGAGTAGAGGGGATTAATCGGAAGGTTGGCAGATGACAGATGAGGAGGAGGGGTAGAGAGTGACATAGCCAGATGGCAGACACCTCAAAGGAGGAGTAGTTTTAAATGGAAGAGTGGAAAAGTAGTGTTTTGTTTTGTTTTTGTTTTGTTTTTTTACTTTTCCTTCTTGGGAGCAGGGTTCTGATCTCTTCCTCTTTATTCAGGACTCAGAGTAATCACTTTTGGTTCTGGAGAGTCTGTTCTTTCTTGTAAAGTAGGAGGGCAGGGGTGCCTGGGTGGCTCAGTAGGTTAAAGCCTCTGCCTTCGGTTCAGGTCATGCTTCCCCCCCTCTCTCTGCCTGCCTCTCTGCCTACTTGTGATCTCTGTCAAATAAATAAATGAAATCTTAAAAAAAAAATAAAAGTAGGAGGGCAAGTACTGTCTATCACATCCTTTCTGCTGATATTTAACAAAGAAAGGTCAGTGGAGGGACGCCTGGGTGGCTCAGTTGGGTAAGCCTCTGCCTTCGGCTCAGGTCATGGTCCTGGGGTCCTGGGATTGAGCCCCGCATGGGGCTCCTTGCTTGGTAGGGAGCCTGCTTCCTCCTCTCTCTCTGCCTGCCTCTCTGCCTGCTTGTGTGTACTCTCTCTCTCTGACAAATAAATAAAATCTTTAAAAAAAAAAAGAAAAGTCAGTGGAGGTTTCCCCCCTGAGGATTAGTAGGTGGATCTGAAACAATCAGATAAAGCAGTGAGGTTATACCCATGGTTTCTGGGAAGAGCCTACATTTTGAGCTACAAAGACCAAGATTCAAATTTAGGCTCTTGTCGCTGACTAACCTTAGGACTATAAGCAATTTATCTAACTAGTGTGATTTTCGGTGTCCTTACCTGTAAAAAAATAAATTCCTTTTACATAGGGTGTCACAAAGATTACATGAAATTATGTGTATAAGATCACTAGGAAAGGAATTTAAAGGAAATGTTAGTTCTCTTTCAGCTACTTCCAAGGGACTTAAGCTCTGCTGGCTGAACTTTTCTCATGCTTACTTAAATTATAAGGCAATAAGTACTCTTAAGAGAGGAAAAGCAAAGGGATGCAGAGTTCAGAGGAGGGAGCCATCATTTTTCAATATTTGGAAGCAAGGTTAGACTTCACACTCAAAATAAGTTTCATTTGGGCCTTGGAAAACAAATTTCAGTACATTAAATAATTTTGGTGGAGATACAAAGGGAGAAAACTATAGGGTATGTTTGTTAAAAATGTGTAATTGCCAGGGTCTGAGTATTGTGTAAGTCAGCAGTGAGCGATATGGCCAGAGAAATGGGCTGGGGCCATGGTATTAAAGACCTGGAACTATGGAGTTTGGACTTGATGCTAGATAGACTAGGGAACCATCGATTGTATATCCTCT